TAAATCCGCCCCTGAGCATCTTATGTGTATGTTTGTCTTGTGAAGGTGATTGATACTTTAGACAGTGTCTAAGTTCACTATTAAGGTAAGGTAAAATTTTAAATCAGGGAAGCATAAGAGAGGGTGCAGCTACAGCTCTGAAGTCCCCCCCGCCCCTGCATTTCTCTCTATCTGCTGCAGATCATTAAATGAATGAATTTTTACATGGGAGCTGAGGACCCAAGAATTATTTTTAAAAACAGAATCGGGGAAGTGCGACCACTTAATAATTATAACAAATCATTTTGTTGCTCATTTAAACTTTTAAATCGGGGATGCATAGGAGCGGGTAAAGCTGCAGCTTTGAAGTCCCCATTGCTCTCTGTCTGCCACAGATCATTAAATGAAAGGAATTATGATGTGGAGACCGTACAGATTTTTTAATTAAAATTAAAAATTAAAATTGTGGGTGGGGGGTGATCCTCCTAATAATGAAAAATAAATCATTGTGTTGCTCATTTAAAATATTCAAGTAAGTTACAGTATAAGTACACACTCCCATTTTTGAAAATGGAAAATGTATGTTTGCTTTAACGCTGCTTCTAATCTGTTGTTTTGAGTATATGAAGAGTAGGTCAGGGTTAGTAGAAGATGTATAAAATTGTTAGTCTTTCGCAAGTGAACATCTGGAATTGTAACAAATGTGATTTAAAATAAAAAATTTACTGATGAATAATGCAATATATTGTTAGAACAGTAAAAGATTTTATGTTAATTTTATAATTGGATGAATTTTATTATATTTTGTAATGTAAATGCATGCTGTGATTAAACATGTTCATAATTATCTTTGTTTCTCTTTGTTAATTCAATGCTCAACACTTCCTTTTGTGCTTGTTCCCTAAATGGTCTCAGATTTATAGTAGTATAATACTTTAATCAAATGCAGTAACATTTTAAACACAATTACTAATCAACTAAAAATCGCAAATTTGCCTCATAGGTAAATCTATTAAACTTTTGTATTTGTATACAATTTGTACAGCAATGGTGCAACAGCTGCTATAATAACAGAATGACAAAGAATATTCATATTTAAAAAAATAATTGCTTGATAACATATTTCATATAAATCATAATAATAAAGATACATGGGTGATGAAAAAAAGTCTTTTTGTAATGGTAATCTACTTTTTCAATACTCTAAGAACTTAATATTCTCTCGAATATGGCATAATTAAGTTCGTCCATGTTTAAATGCGTACTGAAGAGTTCATGGACTAAAGTCACGTCAGCAAGGACAGTACAGACCTCCAATTTCAATCCGAAGTTTGATCTCTACGCTAAGGCTTTTCTCAACTTATTTTAGGAAAAACACCGAACAACGAACAGCGTAGGCATACAGGCTACATTTACAAATAATAGGCCTGCTATTGAGAAAATAGCCTACTGATGTAGGCCTAATTCAGGATCATGGGATAAGCCGCATTTTACTTTTCATTATTTCAGTTTCAAGTAAGAACATCATTTATCTGGTAATCGATGATGATTCAACCAGTGAAAATCGATCCTATGTTAAACTACGGGGATCACGTGGGGCCATACACATGAGGATGGAAGGAATATGGTTTAAAAATTAATTGCTCTTCATCGACTCTAGCAAATCTTTTAAAATGCAGCATTTAAACGCACTATTCTTGTGATACAATGCGTTCGAACACGTAAAAGGCATGTCTCCGAAATTCGAAAATGTACTCATCATTTGTCTCAACTTTTAATTATTGTATTTTATATTAAAGTTGATTTTACATCCGATACACTTAAAACTAATATTATTATATTCTTTACTTGGTGTTTTAGTTAATTAAGTGTGGCTATATTATACATCAATCCAGTACATGTCTAATTTTAGTCATGAATTAAGACTAAAGTTAATCGCGGATTAATCGTTTTCGAGAATGGACTTACTGATAGTTTGGTTTACAGGCGTCTGTGTTTTAGTGGTTAAAAGATCTCGAATTATTGGGTGCACATGATAAAGGAACGTTGTCCTTGTTCAAGTCGTTCTCTGTCGGATTGGTCGATATCTTCTACTTTTGTTGCTTGGAGATCTGTGTAACCATGGATCATCGCGCAGCCGATTTTTTCAAAGACCTATTGTTTATATAAAACAATAAAAAGAGTTCCGATACATTTCAATTGCTTCCCAGTTTGTTATATCGACCTGTGTCTTCTAGCATTACAACCATTAATAACTGTGTTACTGTCAACGATTCGGAAATGAATTAGGCCCCATTATACAAAAGGAATACAAGATATTTGAAATCAATTAGGGCCTCAGTTATATAAGAATCTTCCAACACAATGGGTTTAAATCAAGGTTGAGTCTGTTAAATAATTTATTATAGGGCTAGATGCTGGTTTACACTCACAAACAGGTAAATTCATTGCCTTGTTGAACATCTAGTGAGAAGGCCTACGATTTCGGGCAGATTGTGGACCAATGTTGCAAATATGTGAAGTCTGAATTTTATTTTCGTGTCTGCGTACGTTTCATAATTCTATAGGCCCCTAATGGCAGACGATTCGTGGATGTTACCATACCGACAACAGTTTCGTCAAAGAAACCGAAGGAGTTCAAAAGAGGCTGACGTTCTTCTCAATTGCAACAAAAAATCACAACAAACTGAGTTAAAACGCAAGTTTCACGAACTAAATCGCTCCTATACGGACTTGATGCGAAAACATCGACTAGATATCCTGGAATTACGTCAATTTTTAGGTACCATTGCCGGAACGAAGGATGGCAAAAAGAAGAAACATTGCAAATCTTTTCCTAAACGTGGTATTACCGTTTCGAGAAACGAACAAAACGAAGTGATAAGGATTGTTGCAGAAGAGAACGGTGTAACTGGAAAACACGGCAAGAAGATAAAAGAACGAACTTCGCAGACTAATGTGGCACCAAACGACACACCAGCACAATCGAATGTTAATAAGGATTCAGCCAATTTCTTTATACCAGTTGTTTCTAAGACGGATTTGCAATTACCAAGGATTATGACTAATACAAATAAATCACGCAAGATGGTGTTGGATATTGACCAATATAGTACGTTTTCGGCACGGGATAGCGAATGCGCAACAGCTGATAAAGTTTTTCCACCAATTATTCAAAAAAGCAAGGCACCGAAGGAAACATTAAAGTCATTATCAAGGAGTAGCAAAACCATAGGTTACTGAACATAAAGTTTATAATTACGTTTGTATACGTTTGAGATTTTTTGGATGACCAATTATTATTCTGAAGTAGGTCTGCTCTGAAAAAAAGGGAAAAAAGGCAGAACCATAGCACCAATTTTTAGAGAAAGAATGAACAAAAATAATGATGCAAAAACGCTCTTGAGGACAAGACGAATTATTCGTTTCCTGAATAAAATATTTTGTGCTCTACTGTTTAACTCAGCGTTTTTGAATCATTATTTTTGTTTTATTATTTGAACACACGTGATGAACAAATAAATATCTATTCTCGGGAATATTGAGTTGCTATAATATTTTACGTTAATAAAGAAATTCACAACCGTTTTCGACAATAGGCCTAGGTCTTATTACAGTACTTGCATTACTTTTCTTTTGCATAATATTTTTCTTTTATATAAGCCTGTTATAAATTAATATTATGTTATGTAAGGGTGAATGAAGACTATCCATCAATTATTATTATTATTATTATTATTATTATTATTATTATTATTATTATTATTATTATTATTATTATTATTATTGTATTCTATACAACACCTGCAGTATGAATAACATGTTTTGTTCTGTCGATTGTATTATCATTCCATTGAAAATAAGAGAGAATCTAAATAGGTGTTACATAATAATATATAATAATATTGATAATATTATTAATAATTATATATAAATACATACAGGCTATGAATTTATTAATTTAAATATTATCGCATTATATATTATCATATAGGTATTATTATTAATAATATCTCCACGATTTGATAAAGAATCTTATTAAATTTTGAAAATCGAAGGTGAGATCGATGCATAGAGCTATTATTATTATTATTATCTCTATGGGTCGATGTGATTTATAAGTGTAGCTATGGTAACTACCCTACCACATTGAGACGTGCGCTCTGACTAATTGAGCATATAACGCGCGTTTCACCTACGCAAAGCCACACACGACAAACTATAACCTTTGAAACAAAATATAGCTCATTTACAATTGTATTACAAAAAGGATTATTTAAAAGTTACAAATACAATTTAAAAAAAACAAAAAAAAACAAAAAAAAAAACCCATACACAATAATTTACAGATTGAAAAAAATAAGTATCAAAGTGTCTATTGGTGTCTCGGCGAAGTGATGATTAATTACGCACAACGTGCGCGCACGCTGACGAACACGTTCTATTATACGCATTTATAGATTTGAAAAAAGTGAAATAGCACTCGCCTTTTTTTTTATCTAATATAATGAAAATATGGCGTGTTTATCAATCCATTTTAGCGTAGATCGTCGTCAAAAGCTAGCAACAATTCTCCAATTTTTTTCTTGGTCGTGTGTGATATGTGGCATTGTTTTAGTCTCTCTTGGTACATTTATTAGTCTGCATGTCCAAGCAAAGGTAAGTGGATATGGTGCCATGTGTATGGTGTGTGGTGAGTATGTAGCCTAGACAAGTCTACATTACCGACAATAAGGCGCTCACTCAGTCATGCTCAAGTTCAATTAATTAATTAATCTTTCGGAGTCCCCAATAAAACCCAATGAAAAGTAGCTGGCTACGCCCTAGGGCTAGGCCCTATATAAGCAGCTATTCATAACATTAGGAGGACCAATTATTAATTAATTTAATTTATGGCCCAACCTATGTTAATTGTTAAGCTAGCCTGTGGCTAGCTTTAACCTATTTATATAATTTGTTTATTAAATTATCCGGAATGGATCATACAATTGTAGATTTATCATTATCAATATAATTAATAATATTTTATTTATTTGATCCCAATAGTATTAGGCCTATAATATCGTCATCATTTATTATTTACCTTTTATCATCATCATTGTTGTCCTCTCCATCATCATTACCTTATTTAATATCATTATCATTACTATTATTCAACATTATTAGGTCATTAATAGTATTAGACCTAAGCCTAAAGTAATAGGCCTAGGTCTATTAGTATTATTATAATTTAATTATAATTATCATATCATCTTCATATTATTTATATATTATCATTTCATTAACTATATCATTTTATACAGGTAAACCTAATTGAGGGGTATGATGGCTCTATCCTTCCGAAGATGCTTATCATTGTCGGCACTCTAGTTGTCATAATTGACCTGATAGGCGGTAAAATATGCCAAGACATCTCAGACCATCGACGATTGCATAGGTTCGAGATGTGCTTATTCCCATTGGTGATAATTTTGTTTCTTCTTGATATTTGCGTGTTAACTGCTGCGTGTATGTGTTTCGCACATCGAGTGCAACTCTCACATTCGATACATAATGGTTTAGTGAATGCTATGTATAGATACAAGGTGAGTTATGCTACTAATTATGGTAATAGTAATAAACTTTCTAATCAAATCAGTTTAAAATACTTTCCAACAGCAATAATAAAACAACCCGGAAAACACTGCAACAATGTCATCCTGGTAGCTGACCTCCTTTATGCTAAGCTCCGCCCCTTTGATATTGTTAACATTCCACAAAAAATAGGCCCCTTGGTTATGGGACATGTGCGTATTACTGTCCTATCTCTGATTGGTCAGTAGTCTGACGTTCATTGGCAATTCGGAGTTTCATTATCTTGAAACCTAACACTAAATTAAAAAAGCGCATTCATTTTGCAAAATATGAACTAAGATAATATAGAAACAAAAATAAACATGGCTCAACAATAATTACACGTTGATGGTTCCCCTATTTTTTTTTATTAAATACGTTAGGAGACAAAATATTGTTTTTAATTAATCTTAATCCTGTATTAACAAAATGATAGGAACATTTTTTGCAGACAGAAAATGAATTCCAGATTTTTTTTTTTTACCTGAAACATTGCAGTTTGCAGTGACCAACTTGCTTGGTCAATGTGCATTGCAATAGTAACAAACGTAAATGTAAAATAGTTATGATACTAATATGATCGATTATGTGTGTATTATGATTTTATTATTTTCCG